GATTGACACTTGAACACCGTTTTTCTACGACTCATACAATTATCTCTCAGGTTATGAGGTCCGGACAACCCGAGTGAGTGAGTGTGTCCCGCTCTTTATCCGATCTTCTTCTCGGTGCTATAGCCTGCTTACTTTGCCATAACCGAGGTATGTTTTCGACCCACCAGTCCCTTACATCGAAGGCGCTCCCCTGGTTAGCGACTGACATAATACTGTCTGCCATGCGAGCTACTATCCTGGACAACGCATGCAACCATCATAGTCTTAAGCTTTCAAGATTGTAAGTCTCAAGTAACTCGTATACAGCGTCTAGCTGCCCTCATAATTTGGTTTGCATGGCTGCTGGCTGTTCCCCTTCTTCACTCAATCAGAATTGATAGGCCATGCGAATACAAGGCTAAAGCATTGTTGTTCTTACGTCGTTCTCCGAAAACTTTAATTTGACTGATCTTCATGCTCCACTTTGGATAAGTTACACTAGAAACCGGACCTTAAAAAAACCGTCGCTTCTGTAGACCCTAACAGCGAACAGCCAATCTTTTACCTTTCTCATAAGTTGTTGTGCTAAATGGCAACTGGATTGTCTATTATCAAAGTATGAGAGAATTGTTGGTAGATTTTTCTGCTATTTATATCTTATGGCCAATAAAATCTTGATTTCATTAGGAAAATCGTGCCATTTTACAGCACAAAACTATTGAGAAGACGTGAAAAATGTGGGACTGTCCTCCGCTCGTAGGGGTCTGAGCAGCAAAGCGAACCGCCTTACTTATTTCTGTGCACGATAGGTCGGTTTTTAGTGTGATATGTTAGAACACTCAAATGAGCGAGTTTCGTGTTAGATAAATTCCACATACTTACAGCACACCTGAAGAGAAAGCAAACTCGTCATGTACTTTGACTACTCCTTTCTGATCGTGTGCGACGCCCGACCTTGTAACTGTGCAGATATTAAGATAGTGCGCCAGTGAAGAAGATTGCGCATAGACAGACATATCTCAAAGCCCATGTCTAATATACACTCACACTAAAAAATACCATCTGAGCTACGAGCGTACAGAGCGTGACGTGAGCTACTAGCTGCACCACCTTAAAAGCTTACAAGATCGTGGAAATAAGTCGCTAGGTACTGCTACGCCGCGTGTGTGCAACGAAGGGGAACCACCCTCGATCTAAGAAGCGAGGTATATACATCGGTGCGATGATCTCAATATGGTACACTAGTAGACAAGTAAAGATGACTCACCTGTATAAGTAAGCACCCGCCTCTAACTCCTGGTCGTGGTAGCGCGACTGTAATGTAGCGACAGAACCGAAGATTCACACACTCATCACCTGCAGACACAGTACTTTTGCTCCGGCATACTCTGATGTGCGAGATCTCCCCGTAATAGAATCACGACGATACACCACATTCTCAGTGTCGAGCTGGAGATATAAATAGAGCGTATTTTTACTTCATAACCCTGACGCACATTTCCAGAAAGACAAAATGCAATCTCCAACGCTGTTTGGAAACGTTAGTAGCATAACATGTCAAATCCTGTAGTCGCCATCGCCCTATTTTCTTCTGTTATCATGGCTTGAATTCTGGGACTTTGACCAGACGTGTTTTGTGAGTTTTATATTCTACGGGGAGCTGTCTTTTATATGAGAACAACTATTACCAGAGTTAATGTTGCAAGGGGGTTGGTAGCTGGGAAAGAAGCGAGAATGTTACATACCCCAGGGCTTCTAATGCATAATTATTTGACAGTTTGTCTTCTCTCCACCATATTCATCATCGGTACTGTATCCATCTTTGTGTCGCATCTAGACTTGGGGTCTTCGGGTTATGATTTTTATGATGTTTTTGGTGTGGATCAAGCTGGCTTCTATATTTGCAGTTGTGGTGCATGGACGACCGTTCTTGCGATCATCTGGCAATTATAGTTGAGATGCTAGTATTATTGTAATATTAGCAGCTAATTGTGAGGCATTACATATAGCTATATATCTAGGAATGCGAAGCAACTCCTCTATGAATAGGTTATGATTTTATGCAAGGGCAAGTTTTTAGACTCTTTGTAATTCATCACTTAATTAAGGCTGGATTTATGCTATCTGATCGCTGCTTTACTCTTGTCCCAATATCTAAATAAATTAGAACCGAGCTGAAAAGCGCGAGTTTGAGGGATTCAAAAAGGATTGCTTTTGATTTTACGATGTTATGTGTTCACGATCGAATTCTGGTGCCTATATGCAAAATTACACTTCTTGCCGAGTTATGCGCAAGCACACAGATAAGGATAGACGAACAATTAAACTAGAAATACACTTCGAGGAGTCAAGAGACAAATCAGTTATGGCCGCCTTTCACGCATCTAAAGAACAGTGCTTCTTCTGAATCGCTTATTGAGCAGGAGAGCGAACAGAATATGCAAGCAATGATGATTAATTTAGACATGAACATGGAAAGGACGGTGTAGGCTTTTGCGGATTCTTTTTTTGCTCAGTTGAATTCTTACTGGTTATTTACAACAAGCAGTTGCAGTGCCTATTAGGCCTAGGATAAGATCATGCCGTAGGTTTCAGCGAAACACTGGTTGGTGGAACCTCGTTTGGACAGTATATTCCGAGAAAAGGTTTAAAAAGACATTTAGAATGACTAGGCAAACATTTTCCTTAATTCATGATAGAATCAAGGATGATTTAACGAAGGAGAGCGTCACAGAAGAACCAATTCCATCCCAGATGAGACTAGCAATTTGCTTGTATCGACTCAGTAGAGGAGACTACTACAATACCATTTCAGAGCTAGCTGGTGTCGGTGAAACAACTGTGTGCAACATAGTGAGAGAGGTAGCTAAGGCAACCATTGAAAATTTATGGGAAGAATTTGTTGAGGCCAAATTTCCACATAGCAAGGACACGCTGAATGAGAAAATGAAAGAAATGGAACAAGAATGGCAGTTTCCTTTTGCATATTCTGCAATTGATGGGTGTCACATACCAATTAAGTGCCCACCTGGTGGCCAAGAGTCATGTAAAGAATTTCATAATTTTAAGAATTTCTACTCAATCGTTCTAATGGGAATGGTAGATGCCAAATATCGATTTATATGGGCAAGTGCTGGTTGGCCTGGCAATTCACATGATGCCATAATCTTTCAAGCAACAAACCTTTATACCAAACTAGCTGAAGGTACAGCCTTTCCACCTATTGCCCATCATGAGAATGGCGTCAGTATTCCACCTTTAATCCTGGGAGATTCTGCCTTCCCCTTCAAGCCTTGGCTGCTGAAGCATTACACAAATGCCAGAGCAGAGCTATTTCAATTATAGGTTGAGTCGTGCACGCATGGTAACAGAGTGTGCATATGGACAACTGAAAGGTCGATGGAGAGTCTTGCTCAGGAAGTCTGAGAATGATAAGGAAACAGTACGTGCAGTTACACTAGCTTGTGTAGTACTACATAACATTTGCATCGAACAAGGAGATTTGGCTCAAAGGCAATGGGACCTCTCCAAAGATTCAGCATCAAATCAAAGACGTACACAAGAAGAAGTCCAAGACCTTCTTATGATAAGGCAATGCAGACCTCTAAGAGATACAAATCGTTCTGCAGCACAGGTTCGTGATTATTTGAAAGACAAGTTATTTTTAGAAAAGCAGCAAGTTTAGGGGATGCAAAGCTCCCATACTTTCAATACTCTCCCTCCCTTAATAGTATCCCCCCTAACTCCAAAATTTTACAAAATTACCATCTATTTCCATTTATTAAAACCCCCCCTAAAAAGGAAAAAAATGCTTTTTTCCATCCACCCCCATTTATTAGACAACACCCCAAAGGCTTTTGGCAGCTATTTTTGATATTTTGCAAGATTCAAGGGGCTATTAGAAGCACTGATTGGCTTTTACCCCATTTGAGAGCAGAACGCTGATAGGTTGTTTACATTTTTCCTCCTTGTTATATGAATTGGTATAGTATCTTTTAGTATCGAAATATCTTTTCAACAAAATGTAAAAAAGTTAATGTTACCCCCCAACTATTAACATCACACCCCTATTTAAGCGCTGCATGACAAAATCAACCCATTTCCATTTATTAACACCCTCCACAATTATTTATCCTGGGCAAATTTCCAACTGCCTCTTTTTAATAAGTCCCCCCTACTATTAGGGGATGGAGAGTAAGCTGCATCAGCTTTGGAAAACTGACAAAGTTTCAATTATAATTCTTGACAATTGTGATTTCTGGAGCCACTTTGACACTATTTATACACTACTTATGTTCTTATGTTGTACATTGTAGTTTGTATTAAATAATGTTTCTTATGTAATTACTTGTAGATTGGATTTAGGATTAATTGATAGATGAATGGAAACTGAAACTGAAATATGAAACTGAAATATGATGTGATTCTAAATGTTTATAGCTGAAATAAATCATCTGACTGGGATTGATGTTCAAAGTTTTGATTCCTTGGAGGATAATTATCTTGTGGAGTAAATGCTTGTCGAAATTGTTGTCTTGGATCCATACTGTATGACTGCTGCATGTTTTGGGGGAAATGTTGATAAGAAGGAGGCTGTGGAACTGGTGGTTGGAATTGCTGCTGTGCTTGATTTCCATTGAACATCATTGTGAGTAATCTCATTTCATGTTCACTTGATCTTTGATTCTCTCTCTCAAGAAATGCTAGCATGTCAGCCATTGGGTCCTTTTTTAGCTGCTCAGTGACCTCAAGGATTGCTTTTGATGTTATTTTTACCAGATCATCAAGCTTTTCCTTTTTTCCAGCTGCCTTTTTGATGGGAACAAATGGCCTCTTCTTTGAAGGAAGATTTGCTCTTGTGGGAGTTGAAGTTCCTGAGGAGGTCTCTGGTGAAGGACCTTGGCCAAACTCATTGTTGTTGTAGCCCCCCTCTTCATTTAAATGATTCACTTCAGTTGAGGTTGGACTTCCTTCTTGACTGTCATGTGAACAAGTTGATGGTTCAATGGCCTGCTCTGGCTGACAAGATTCTCTGGACTTGACAAGAGGCAGCAGTTGATTAAACCATTTCCATAGTCCTGTCCTCCTGAAATCGCTTTATGCCAGATGCAGATTTGCAGGTTAAGGCAGCCTTCTTGCACTCACTCACGCACTTCTTGAACTTATTTCTAGTTTGGACAAGGCTGAACTTGTATTCTTGTCTCCTAGCCTGGCAACGTTTCTCCACCTCTTTGATTACCTCAATATGTAAACACAAAAGTTGCAAAAGGAATCAGCATTTTAAGTAAAGTAAGACAATTTGTTCCACAAAGAGTATTGCTAAACATATACAATGCATTTGTACTACCAAATATTCTTTACGGTCTTTTAAATTGGGGAAATGCATCTAAAACCACTCTTGACCCAATTAATAAAAAAATAAAAAAGCCATAAGATTAATAACATTTAAAAGTAAAACTGAGCACAGTGAACCTCTTTTCAAATATCTAAACCCTCTTGATCTTGAAGATTGTTATAAATTCAAATGTGCTAAAATTATGTACAATTTAAATAGTAACATTTATAATACTACTTTTGGGAAATTATTAAAAAAAATCCAAAGACATTCATAACTTTAAAACAAGGCATGCTACATCAGGGAAATTTTTCAAACCATCCTTTACAACAAGCTATGGTAAAGGTTCTATAACAAATTCTGGTGTTGATATTTGGAATTCCATTCCAAAAGATAGAAATTCCTGATTTCAAAATACTAGAACCTATGAGTTATATATCGATCAAATTCATGTAACTAAAATGGCTCATGGCTCGAAAGCCCTCTCTGGGTTATTTCCATGAGTCATTCAGCTTTGTTTATTACATGAGTTTTTAAAATAATTATAATATTGTAATATCACGCTGAGAATACACAAAAAATTCAAATTACCTTCAAATAAATTTCTCCGTTCTTGCTAGTCTTTGTGTTTGTAAAAATCAGTTTTTTGCGAAAATACTCATTATCGCAGATAACGTCCACTAGGTCGTTTGTTATGTCCATTGGCCACGATGACTTCTTCCCGGCCTTTTTCTTTCGCTTTTCAAACAACACATTACATGCCTCTTCCGCTTCACTTTCTGACCCAAAACTCCCTCTTTCGTCCTCATTAAAAATTTCGGATTCCACGCCAGCTTCCTCACTTTCGCTGCCGCAATCCACGCTATTGCTTACATACACGTCTGTTTCTGCCATTTTCCTTCAGAGATGAATACAAGAAGCAAGAACAACTCAACTATACTTTGGCGCCGACAAAAACTTAGCACCACTGCGCTTGCGCAACTAATGTATTTGACGGACTGGAAAAAACACTATTTGATTCAAGTCATCAAAAGCGCGACGTCTAAAGCCAACTCGCGCTTTGGTCGTGTAGCACGGCTGACCATGACGAACTTGAGTCGCACCTAGCATTTGTATCGAGCTAAATTGCAAATTGGATTTATACGCCGTGCTAATGTTGAATCTAATCAATACTTAGATTTTGAAGAGGCAAAGTATTTCATTCGGTGCGAGATAAGCGCAACGTATAAATCAGCCCTAAGGAGTTTAGTCCCTTTTATAAAAAATTTCTTCATTTTTTGAGAAAATAACTTCATTTTTGCAGTGAAGAAAGTCTTAAATGCCAAAATCATAATTTCAACAAAATTTCAATTAAATATGGAAATGAATCAAAATGGCAGCAAAAACAATAGACAAAAAGCGTTCATTACTTCTGGCAACTGTTTCCAACAAGTATAAGAATAAGACGGCTGATTTCTATATAATTATACTGAGATGCTCTAGTATGTGCATGAGGTATTCAAAACCTATAGTCCAGAAGACAAAGGGGGAGCATTACCACTCGAAGAGGGACTTTACCAGACTAACTTTATGGGCAGCGACACAAAGATTCTTTGCCTTTTGGGCAGAGATCATGCTGAGGATTGTTGGTATTTGAGGAAATATGGTACAAACCAGCTAAAGCGTCATTACTATCAAGGTTGCCTTTACTTTTTCTAATAGCATGTCCATAATAGTTCTGCATTTTGTCTATTAGTTTCTCTGTTAATCTTCCGCTCCCTCCAATAATTTACCATCACCTAACTTTTTCTTTCCATAACTAGCTTTCAGCTTGCAAAGTCGTGAGCCCAACCTTTTTTGTACATGTCCTACACATTATTTTTTTCAATTGAGATGTGCTCACCATATGGTTTTGCGTTTGAAACACAGCTAAAAGTAGAGGAGTCTCCATCTCCAATATAAGCAATGTACCTTAACCCATACCTCTCCTCTGACCGTTTGAAAATGTCTAATACTCCAGCAACTTCCAGTTGCCCTGATGAACTGAGTGATCCTTTGTACAAGAAGATGCATGCTAGATTTTCCAATTCATGTACTCTTTGGATGCCTTGTCCAAATTACCTTGTGCATCACAACCTTTACATTTTTTTTATTTCACTTCATAGTCAAGCACCTTTCCGGATGAAATAGAAATTGCTGACACAATCCCATTTAGAGAAAAATGTTCTGGTTTCTGCCAAGATCCATTAAAACTTGCTGCTTTGTCATCCTTCCTTCATCTTGACCTCTTCAGCAGCCTGCTTCATACTTTTAGATGCAACATCTACAAATGCTCTATGCAGTTGACCTACATACAATGCTGTTGTAACTTTTCTGTGTCATCGGTTTAGCCATCTTCATGATGGTTGCAAAATCAACAAGACCTTTGTACCCTACACCAATTTCTCCAAAAGCCATTATTGTTCAAACATTTACCTCCATGTTGTTCCTGGACTTGCCATCAATTTTTGCATAGCTTGAAGTGTTGAACTTTTGACTCCAACAGCATTTAGGACAGTCAAGAACGAGGCATTTGCTGAAACCAAACATTTTATGAAGTGCTTTGCACAACTACAACCCAGGTTCTTTGCAACTCGGGCAACAAAGAACATGTCAAAAAGTTTCAGCAAGTCAAACATAAAAAACCTTCCAAACTGTGGCTTTTTTCCTCTGATTGAGCTTCAATCATTGGCCCAAGCTTCTTTCCTGGTGAAGATTGAGTTCCAGTTTCATTTCTACTTACTGGAGTTTGTTGGTCGCTCTGTTGCGGTCGCTTCCACTGGATACTTCACCTGTGCTCTCTGATACCAAACGCTGTATTTTAGCAGCAGATACTTCTCTAGTATTTTTTCCTTTCCTTTTCTTTTTTCTAGTTCTGTTTCGTGGATTTCCCATAGTTTTTAAAGATTTCGTTGTTAAATAATCGAGAGATGTTATGATAAGGTGAGCAATAAAAGGAGCGTGAAGAACAGGAGAGTCACTTCATCTAAGACCCCTGAACCTCCCTTTAATGCAATCTCTCACTCAAAGCATCCAATTTAATTACAGTTTTTAAGGCTAGCGTGGGGAGACCATTTTTGGGGGCCGGTAAGAATCAATATTGTGTTACTAGGGGCGTTTGTAAGGAAACATTTCTGAGTCGCTCATAATAAATCATGTATTAGGCAGAAATATTCCAAAATTTTTAGCAAAATGCTACATTTTTTAAAAGAGAAAGGTTTAATTGTTAGAAAAACGGGAAAATTTTTTTCCAAAAAATCTCACAATAGGGACCAAGCCCTTAGGAGCAAGTGTCAAATTTAAATGGCTCACTGCAAGCAGTTTATGATGACAGTGCAATACTTCTTCTTGCCTTTCATACTGACATCTGTTCATCTTGCTTGACACCGTTTGGTGAAACCATCATGTGGGCAGATGATAATAAGCATTTAATAACAATGAAAGTTATCAAGTCTTTCTCATGTAAGTTATTGTTGTAACCAATGATATTTCCTCTCTAGCTGACAAATTTTTTCAGGTACATTTGTTAAATGAGGCAGTGATTGCTCATTGATTAATGCATTATCTTGGTAAGAATATTTCTCTTGTGCCTAGAATTATGACTTTTTAACTGATTGACCGACATTGGTAATCTAAAATGTCTAAAAACCACCAGAGCTATTGACAATGACAGGTAGACACTACTGTCTGGACAAAGAAGACAGGATGAGAATTGAAAAACTGGCTAGCAATTAGAATTTAGTTTGTCATTTAGTTTTAGAAATAAGGAGTGAAATGACCACCTTGATATCACTAATCAAAGAGACAGTAGGCCAAACGAATAGAAGGGTGTGTAGTGAAAGTCAGTTGACTGCTGCTGATGTTATACCCTCAGCGGTAGCAAATGGGGATCAGTTTCCCAGCTTTTCAAACGGCAATCAGTTTGCCATACCTTCATTTGGAGATCAGTTCTCTGATTTACAAAACTTAACTACGGAAATGGAGATGGGTGTACCTTCAGCACCCAATCCTTCATCACAGACTGCCTTGAGAAGTTTTTCAACAAACTCGACAGAGGGAACTTTTATTCCTACTTGCAGCAATGCAGAGTTTGCGCTTTTGCATGTCTTGCAGTCAGGACCTGAACAGCACTCAGTTGAATTACAGTTTGTTGAGGATGAGTCTTTGGGTCCAAGCCTTTCAACAGTTTGTGCTAAGTATGTTGAAGACCGCTGTAGGTAATGTATCATCGCCTCAAAGCTTGTAAAATCCCGATCTTTGGGCTCAGTTGCCTAAAGGTCAGAAGGAGCACGATAAACGACTCCAATCCGCCCAAGGTTTGCTGGCCAAGGGCTTAACAGGGGTTATCAAGATGAAAGAAACTCTCCTCCAATTCAACACCAATCAGGATAAGTTCCCTAGCTTGTTCAAGGAGCTGAATGAAAAACGTGATGCCTGTGTTGCTATTCTGGGCAATGCTTACCTTGAAACATCATTTCGGCAAAGAAACATGTTGAAATCGGCATTAAACCCAGGATTTCACTCTCTTTGCAGCAGAAAAACCCCCATAACGAATTACCTTTTCGGGGACAATATCCTTGAAGCAGCCAAGACAATTTCCTCAACTTAAAAAATGACAAGGTCAATCGATCCCTCATGCTCCTCTTCCGCGTCAACTTCACGTTCACCCTACGGAACTCAAGCCATCAATTCACTCGCCCTCACCAACCTTCCACCAGTTATTTAAACTACAGAGGCCAAACAAACAATTCATGGCAATCCCGACAACAAAACCGACACATGGCACCAACCCAACAATATACACCTTTTTCAAAGAATCACCAAAAGTAACAAAAGAACCGCCCGTAACTGGTAGAACTAAATGTTTTCTTAAAAATTGGAACACACTCACTAATAATCAAATCGTTCTAAACCTTGTAAGAGGCATTCGCATTGACTTCTTTATCAAAAGTTAATTCCTTAACCAATTCAGTTTGGTGATGATGAACGTAACTGCATAAAACTCAAATCTTACTTTGCAAAGGGGCTACCATTCCCATTTATCCAAACACATCTCAATTTTTATCCAATATTTTCACGAGACCTAAGAAGTCTAGAGGATTGCAAACTATCATCAATTTAACAAGAATGAACAGACATGTAAAAAAGTTCATTTCAAGATGGAACATATTCCCACCTTATTACCCCTGCTGAAATGCAACGCATTCATGGCCTCAATTGATTTACAAGATGCATGTTTTTCTTTACCTATTGCAAAACGATGTCACAAATACCTATGTTTTATGTGGCAATCCACTTTTACTAAAGTATTCAATAGAGAAAATTTCTCTCCAGCGATAGTTGAGTCCTTTCAGTCAGCTTCAACATAATCAGTTATGCAATGGGCCTGTTGCATGGAGCAGCACAAAACGGGAGATACCATTACCATATGGCAGTGCTCCTGGACAAAGCGCAAAGGGGGATCAGAGTTAAGCAGCATATCCAACAGCGATATGGTATTGTTGTGAATTTTTCTGACCATGCAGGCTATCATTCAGCTTTCACATGTATCATGAAGGAAGATGTGGCTGTTCTATAAAGTCCAAATCACCCTGCTGTTCCAATTCAACCCAGAACTGCTGATACCACAAGGGCAAGGGCAGGGAAGGGCCGTAAAAGTATCAAAAGGGCTAAACGCCTTTCCAATAGTGAAGTCGCAAAAATTGTTTTGCGAAATAAAATATGTGCTTGAATTGATGTCTTTTCAAGCTTCCAAAAATTACAACTTAATATGCTCGCAAATCGTTTCGTTTCATGGCAGCAAAAATTTACAATGTTTGGTGTTGAGGATAAAAAAGTTATATTTTTGAATGACTTCAGGTCGTCTACAGTTATACTGCAATGACATGACATGTTGTTATTGTTGGAAGGCCATATTGTCCGTTTTGCTGCACCAAAACAACGTAAAACCAGGACATTGAATTTTGCAGAGACACACCAATCTTTGCAACAGCAAAAGCCCCAATATCTTTTGTCAAGGGTTCCATCATAAACGACCAAGAAACGGAGATGATGAATGTTCGATGGCGTATTTTCTCTTTTAGGCATCATGAGATATAATGCCAGAAAACTGTTCCTTCCTGTGGACATTGTTTTGCAACAATGCTCCTTTATTGACAGCATTGATTATCACATGACTATCCGTCACAGTTTTATGCTCCGTAAATAAATGTTGTAAAGAATGACGACTCGCAATGATCTACACAACGATCTACACTTTCTTTTATTCTTCTATGAAGCATTTTCCTGAAAAAGGTAACCAAAATTCCTGGTTTGTACAATACGGAGAAAAAAAGAGTATAAAGACGATTTAGTAACGGAGAACGCTTGCCAAAAAATTTGCAAAGAAGTACTCAGGAAGACAAACCAAAACATTGAAGGTATGTGTCCTAAATCTTTTACATTTTTGTTATAAAATATCATGTTCTCGATTTATCAAAGTAGGTGTATCGATACTACAATTAATGCAAAATGGGAACAGCTATTAACTTAAGGTAACTTTGCACATTTCAATTAATGACTGTTTTACAATGTATTTCAACGTGAACACATACATAGTCCTGAATTGTAAGCATGATATTTTGAACAGAAAGAGTACTTTATAAGAACACGGGTCAATTTTTTTATCATGAATTATTGCCTGTGTGTTAATTTCTTTATAAACAAATCAAGAACAATCCAGCCTTTGAAAAGTTTCTATCCTACCATATTTAACTCGAGTCGTTTTGCTCTTTCATGTAGATGCAAATGCCCTAAGAAAAGTTTTCAAAAACCTGAGAGACAGGTTTATGAAAATGAGAAGGGAATACAAGCCGTCCGGAAGTGCTAGAGCTGTACCATTGAAGCCTTGATGGCCCTACTTCAGACAGCTTGAATTTTTGGCTCCTTTTCTGAAGCACAGACAGACGCAAGGAAATCTACTGCTGATCATCGATGACACTGGACAAACATCTGCAGAAAGCAGCTTTTCTAATGCTTTTGAAGTCAATGAGACGGAGCAGCAGTTGAGCACTCTTTCTTCTGATTCGTTCATTATTCTGGAACATACACAACCAACAAAGCTGAATTCTCATGTTCCTGCTGCACTGAATGATTCAGTCGTCCCCAAAAAAGCAGAAGGCCACAGTTAGAGTCTGACAATGATGTTTTAATGAGTGTACTTCACAGTAGAAGGGATTTTATAAACAGGGAAAGGGAGATACAGACAAAGATGATTTGTTTGGTCAAAGCATTGGAAAAGAACTAAAAAATTGACTGGTTATCAAGAGAGCCTTGCCAAAATTAAGATATAACAAGTTTTGAATGAAGTTGGGTGGCATAAAGAGCCAAAGTAATGCATATAACCTGCTCTAGTTGAAAAAATTGCGTTTTTTTGTTTTTAGTTTCTTTTGATAATCAATACCCTGTTACTCTTCTTTTATATAATATAAAATGGAGAATTAATATTTATGTGTTTTGAAAAAAGTCCTATTACACAACAGCTTTAAAGTGAGCTCGGAAGACAAAGGGAAGCAGTGCCGCCCATGTTGCAGCCCTTGAAGGGGATCTCTTTATCAAAAACTGCAAACAAATTGCGGTGAATGTATCAAATGTACCTGACAATGAGCTTAGATTCCAATTCAGAGAATTCTTGAGACGTCTGCAAAGCTATGTTTTACCACTCAATATAAACGATTTATGCAGCAAAGATATAAAGTTTTTCTTAACAGCAAGAACAAGATGTTCAAACATATTGAAATTATTATTCATGCCGCCTGTGTTGCTGCAGCAAGCATGTCTTTTGAGTCAGTTATTGAGTCGATGGTTTCCATATATGGAGTCCATAAAACAAGCATCGGCCAATCTCAGAGGAGGGGGCGGAGATGAAAATGATGGTTGCTGTCAATGGCCCAAATATTGAAAATGCTGAAAGTGTCATTATTGATAGCATGAAACAATATTGAAAGGAATCACGCAAGAGCCATAAAACAGATTGGCATTTTGTTTGTGGCGCCGATAAAATAAAGGACTCAATTTCATCAAAAGTTTTGGCACGAATGAAAAATTCAAAGCCAAAATTGCCTTTTATGTCATAAAATTAACTTGATTCAAACTTTGTAATAACATATTTCTTGATGAAACGATCGTTATTCTAAAGTCCTACAGTTCTGTTAAAGTTAACTGAACAATAAAAGTGATTGAAATGAAATTTGATGTCTTATTGCTACCATTTTTCTGTAACAACCATTATAAATGAATAAAAAAATATCTTTTTTAAGACCCTGTTTACACGAGAGAAAATGGAACGGTTCCATTTGGAACCGTGCCGTTTGGAACGGTTCCATTTGGAACCGTGCCGTTTGGAACGGTTCCAAATTTTTTCTGCTTGCGTTTACACGGGCATCCTGGAACCGTTCCAGAAATTGCTTCAGAGGAGGGAGAGCATGCGCAGTAATTCCTTCTGTTCGATTGGCGCCAAAACTTGTAAATCGCATCATTCGACTCGATTACGACAATTTTTATCAACATGGCAGCAACAAACATTACCAAGAAACTTTTCGTTTGGACAGTAGAAGAAACTGCACTATTGTTGAAAATTGTCTTGGACTACAAAACAGCCAAATATGCAGCTGGACAGGACTGGGAAACCATTCGCTCCAAGTACGAAGACTTGGCATGCCGTTTACAAGAGGCCTATCCAGATGAAGTTACTGATGAATTTCCAAGAGGAGAAACCAAAGAAGAATTTTCCGCTTCTAAAGTTTCTTCGAAACTGAAAAAAATGAAAAATAGTTTCAGAAAAGCACTCGACAGTGGGCGAAAAAGTGGTGGTGGCAGAATAGTGTCTTCTCTTTACCAGGAGTGTTCTGAAATATGGGCTGGATGCCCAGCAGCAACAAGCATTGATGGAGGTTTTGAAACAACAGGCGTAAATAATCCTGCAAATGATGAAGAAATATTGGCAGAGGAGAATTCTCCTATAGAAGTGGATTCTCAGGGATCAAGTATTGCTGGCAACAATGAAGAGAATATTGATTACATTGACGAAGATTCACCAATATCCTGTGAACCATTGAAAAAGAAAATGAAGCTTAGGAGAGAAGAACTTGCAAATTTGTTAAAAGACCGCCGAAATTCCAAGTCAATCAAGAAGACTACTTTCCAAGAGAAGATTTTAAATTTTGCAACAGAAGAGGCTGAGATGAGAAAGGAAGACATAGAATTGAAAAAGAAGCTTGTTGCTCAATTTGAGTCCTCTGAGAAACAGTTCTCTTCAACAATTAGGCAACTTTCAGAAGATTTGAATAAGACAATGTCAGAAGGCTTTAAAATGATGCAAATGATGTTTCAGCCAATGCAAGAGTTTTATCCAGCACCCAATTACTACCAAGGGCAAGGAAATGGGAACCAGTGGCAAAACATAATGTACAATCGAAGCACTAACAGAAATGAAGACAGTTCAGAGCCACATTATACTGATTTGTAACTCGAAAAACTATTTTACTTACAATTTTTCCATACTAGCACACTATTGTAGAAACTCAAACAAGCTTTCTTAATTAAGAAGTATCATATTATATTGATTCAACTGATTTTTAACTCTAAACAAAATTAACTTGGTTAGAAATAATGGAAATCAACATAACAAACTGTATCATTAAAACTAAGATAAACTGTTTTTGGGATGAAATGTTTAAACGTTAATAATTGGAAAGTTTTTAAAATGTCAGTTGTTGTTAAAGTATAATTTGAAGATGTCTCTGACTTTTTTGCCTTCTGATTCTCCTGAATTGTTTCTTTTTCCACTAGAGTTTGGCTGAAAATCTCTATCATAATTCATAGCAGCTTTTATGTGTTCCTCAGGCACTCTTTCTTTATGAAGTTCACAAAAATTGTGTAGTACAAAGCAGCTGTATATCACATCTGACAGACTGGTCTGACATATGTCCATTTCTCGACGTAGTGCTCCAAATCTTGCTTTGAGTCTGCCAAAAGCACATTCGATTACCATTCTTGCAGACGAGAGACGATGACAAAAAAATTGCTCATCAATTGTTTTACCTCCATTGGCATATTCTTTGATGAGATATGGCTGAAGTGGATATGCTGGGTCACCAAGGAGACAGACAGGGACACTGTCATGACCTTCAACGATTTCTTTCTGACATGGTGGAATATCACCATTTTGTAACATTTTGTTTATTGCAGAATTAGCAAAGATTCGTGCATCATGCACACAACCAGGCCATTTTACTACAACATCTATAAAGCAATACCGATAGTCACAGGTTGCCTGGACATTCAAGGAATATCTGTTTTTTCTGTTTAAAAAGTCAGTTGGGTTTTTTGAAGGCTGACGAATAAATACATGGGTTCCATCTACTGCACCCAAACATTGAGGAAAACCATGATGCATATAGAAATTTTCAGTAAGAAACTGTACTTCATCTTCAGTTTGAGGTGTCTTGATGTATGTTGGTCCTAGTTCATTTGTTATAACATGGCATACTTTTCTAACCACTTTTGAAACAGCTGATCTTGAAATGCCAAAAGCATTGCCACCAACCATCCGTTCGCCCTGGCCTGATCCAGAACCTTCTTTTTGGATTTCTGCGAGCATTCTTCATCGCCATTAAATTCCTGAAAATACTCTGACGCTGGTCGATGCTTGTTATCATATTCAAAATTCTTTGCTGTCGTAAGTTATGAAGGAGACCCAAAGTACTGATAATTTCAACTTTAGCTACCAAAACTGACAATAAAATTGAGAAAATTGATGCTACAGTATTCTTTAATCGGTTCATCGTGAAGTATGTATGAAATAGATCGTAAACAAATCAACTTTTTTCTCTTCTTTTTTGGCGCGCAGCAATAAAGCAAACATAGAAATCATTTCCAACTAGCCTCTATCTCATAGCATAGTAGCCTCGATTCCTATCCGTTCTCTTTTGGCTCGGTTCCATGCGGTTCTGCCCGTTTACACGGGAGCCAAACGGAACGGTTCCAAATGGAACCGTTTCTGTAGCGGAGCCAAAAGAGCACGGATAGCAGATCCAAACTGGAACGGTTCCAACAGTTCCCGTGTAAACGCAAGGCCTATCCGTACTAGTTTTGGAACGGTTCCATTTGGAACCGTTCCATTTTCTCTCGTGTAAACAGGGTCTAAAACTCATGCTATTGCATAAAACCATCACCAAATCTTACTTAATACCTCTCACTCTAAAGAAATTCAATTCCTGCAAATTACACAAAAACAGAATTTTGCAGGCACATTTTGCAGCAAAATCTTTGCTCGCATGCACAAAAATGTTTTAGGGAGACCTGCCAGTGATGACTTTAATTTAAGGTCATATTCTGTCATGAGGGTTCATCTTGCTGCTCAAGTTTTGAATGATACAGTTGCAGTCTGCTTGGATAAGCCATATTCTGATGTTTCGGATTCAAGATCCATCTGGTTGGATCAATTCCTTCAATATTTTTTCCAGTGGAAAGATTCTATCAGAAATTTCTCAGAAAATGCAAGGAGCAGTATATTCATCTCTTGGCAAAAGTATGAAAGTCTTCGAACAAGTGTCCTTCCCTTCAAAGAAGTTAGCCAATTTTTCCTACAGAATGGTGTTCCTTATGTGTTATCTAACCGTTTTTTCCAAGATGATCTTGAAAACTACTTTGGCAGACAGGGTGAAATTGGAAGTCGCAGAGACAACCCTTCAGTTAGAGGTATTGGTTACAATGACAACACCATCGAGTCTCAATTTTCTGTTCGTCCAATTGCTTGAAATGCCAACCTCCAGGTTAGAAAATACGTAAACAATACAGAGCCATTGCCAAAAAAGAAGCAAAAAGAAGTAACCACTAATAATATTGCAAAACATTTATATTTACAACTTTAATGTATACAGTACACATTAATCTTATTTTACTACAAAATTATATCTAGCAACTTTTTATTTGACCAATTAAGCATCTAGAACTACAGTGCAGGCCTCAGGATATTAGCATGGTTATTGAGTGTTGGTGAAACCTTCTTATAGCATTGGAAACAATACACAAAAAGCAAATTGCATTTGCCTTTGGAAAATTTCCAAAAACTTCTTTACAATTATTTTATGTTAGTGTACTCAGGACCCAAACTGTAGATTGCGTAGTATTTTGTGTTATACAATAATCATGAATGAAATATTACATGAAGTTATTAATTATATTTATTAACCATATCTGAACAACATGAGAGAGTTATCCTCATCAAAACAAAAATGATGGGTTTCTATAAACAATTAAAACTTTTAATTTGATTACGTAGATGTCAAATTGTCTAAAAAATTGAATGTCAGTATGATTCTTTAGCGTGTGCTCATTATTTTAATTTTGCTGTGATGCAAACTACATGATAGTTATCAAGAAAATTATTATAAAAATTTTCAGACGGACTCGAGTAATTGTTGCTACTGTATAATATCTTACACATCTGGTACACTATCTTTGCTGAAAGAATTACAACTGTAAATTGTGAATGATAAGTAAACACCATAACTGCCTTAGCATACAAACTATAAAATATTATTAAAAATGTATGTTGCATTTAGTACTTTATTCAAAATAACAAGATACTTTGAGCATGTAGTTTTGACTTGATCATGAGTACATGCTTGAAACATCTTGCTTTAACTATCAAACTAATTTATTTCATTCTGATAGTCACTTTATTTGCTTACTTTATTATCGTTATAAAATGTTACTGTTTTTTTAAAATTAAAGTTGCGTTTCCATATAATCATGAAACAGGGTTCAAAAATATGATTACCAATCTTTTGTCTGATACAAAATTTAAAGTCTACAGTTCTCACTATGGGCACTCTTATTGACTATTTGAAACCTGTTGCGTCATATTTATTCTTAGTTCCCCCTATATAACAGAATCTGTGAATGTGAAGTTATATGTTTCAGCACCAAACTCTAGGATCATATAAATAGAGAAAATCCATTTGAATGGGTTTGTTACAAGTTTTCATCAGGGCTCAAAACCTGACAGTCAGTCTGATTGTACTGACTGTAAATTCAAATGACTGCAATTTGTTACTCAGTGGACTCAGTGGCATTTATTAGTTGGATAATCAATAACCCTTGTAAAAACTTGACTTCTGTAGAGTGTCTGTAGAAGAACTGGATTTCTTGATTTCTGTCCAGAGAGACTGCTTCTTTGCCAGTTTTTTTAAAATTTTAAAAAGTTCTTACTCTAAAGTATATTGTCACCATGTGCTCTAAGAAATCCATACTAACTTCTTTACTTATTTCAAGGCTGGCATTCAGGCAAATGTCATTGTAATTGGAAAGAACAGAAGGGTCTTTCAAAATCTCTGAAACCAAATCTTAACAAGCCAATTTTGTTTTAAAAGAAGCAGTTCTTGCACAAAATAACAACTCTGATCGCAAAGAAACTTTTTGAACTTTATTGTTCACTCTCCATAAACCATCTCTGTCAAGAGCATTAATAAGAGTTTGGGATTCATCAATTTTGCCGTCTTGTAGAAGAGAAAGAATTTGTTGATATATGTCTCTGCCTTTTGTGGAATAAAAATTTTTTGAATAAAGTTTATGTAAAATAAAACCAGCTAGATATTGTTAACCTTTCTCCTATTTTCTGACCATCGATCAAATTTTGTTTAATATTTTCCGTTTTGATACAGATATGAAAATATGGTAAAAAGATTCGGATTCTCCATTAAATTATCTATATCTACATATATACTTTTAGATATTTGGACGGTAGACCTTCAGTAGAAAAAATTTCTATTCAAAACTATAACAACGTGAAGTTTCTTCAAGATATTCGGCAAACAATCTGCTAAATACAAATGCCCATTTGTGCGATTTTTAAGAGGCTAACGGTTGATTTGCTTTGAAATTCAACGCAAGAGCCATTTTTCATGATAGATGATACACTTTGTGATACACTGCAGTAATGGCCCTCAAAATGTAAGTTTGATCGAATTCTCACAATTGAGTCTAGTGCCCTAAACTGCATACTGTTCCTCTGTTTTGTTTTTACACACGTGACAAGAGAAAATATCCTTTTTGTGACTGCATTGCTGATAGGTAAACACAAACACGACAGCACATATTGCGCAATGTGTTTAAAAGGCTTGTTACCGGTAGAGGTCTGGTATTCCAGAACACCTGACCAAAATTCAACGGTATCCCTTGGTATCTTTCCATTGAAAAGTCGGCCCAGTTCACAAATTGAACTTTCCTATACTGTTTTTTCAATGGCATACTCATTTTCAGCTTTCAGATGGGCAAATGGAAGCTTGTAAAATGGCAAGCGTGCGTCTGGCTCAAAACTTTATCGGGATGAAAGTAGCCCAGCCCTTTGAAAATATTCTTTGTTGATAGAAGTCTGCACTCCACTTCAGAGATAGCAGTCTTTTGGAATGTGACACATCTTTCCTTTATTGCCATTACAGATTTCTCAGCATCTTTTGAAGGGCTACTGGATGCAATGAATTTATCTGCTTCAAAAAGAAATTTAGACCAAAAGACTATATTTTGAACTGGTTTGCAGTTTCCATGAAAGTCATAGACTCTAAATGTCAGGCTTTTGTGGTGAAGATCTAACTGCCTTTCTGATTCTTCTGGGTCTGCATTGGTTGCTTGAAAATAGGCTTTGAAACTTTCGAATTCTCTAACAATAAAGGTGACAAAATGAAAATATAAACAATTCATTTGATCTTCCAGTATCTGGCGAATCATCCTTGCTTTAAACCTGGTGTTTTGTGGCGATGCAGGTTCCCCAACAAGGAAGTAGGCCTTGAGCTCCTCCCAGTTTAGCAATATGTTTTGGAGTACCTTTCCTCATAAGAGCCAGCGAGTTTCACAGTATTTGGTGAAAGGTATTGGAGTGCCTTTTCGCTGATCTGGGTTCATTGTCTGAAACAACTCTCTAAAAACCCTCTCTCCTATGCTGCTTTTGGAAAACCATTGCGGTACTTCTTTCAAAAGAGAACTCAGATTCGAAAGCAGCTTGTGGAACTCAGTTTGTATGCACAGGCATAAAGAGTCACATATACATCTCATCTGATTGCAATTTGGTGAGGCTTGGTCAATTCTCGACCAAAGAGAGTTTTGCTCTCCCATTAAATTTGATGCACCATCTGAACGGTAGCTAATGCAGTCTGCTAGGGCAAGACCAAGATCATTGAGGAAATTTTCCAAAGCTTTGAAAGAATTACGCCTTTTGTACTTGATACTGGGACAAGATTTGCAAATGCGGTGCAAATTCTTTGTAAGAATTCATCGTAGTATCTTTTCACTACTGCCATGTGCTTGTCAGATGACACATCAGTAGATTCATCCACTAACACAGAGAACTTTTTCCCTTTCAGTTTTTCTGCAAGATTTTCCTTCATTGCAGGCGCTACAACGTTAGTAAGTAATTTTGTGCATTTTAATCTGTGCAATCTCATATTGCCAGCAATGCTGCCATCACTATTTCTTTTGATAATTTCGCCCAAATGATAAATTGACCTCAATGCACTTTGACAAGCGATTCCAACTGCAAGCTCTATCTTGAAAATCTTAAATTCTTTAGAAGATTGGTTGAATTTCTTGGGAACTTTCTTG